AAAGAAAAAGGGAAAGAGTTAATGTTCAGCCTACAACATCCAAAATAAAATGTTTTATTGTGCAAAAGATAAAAGATTTGAAAGCCAAGCTTTGTTAAGAGAAGAATTTCTACTAGTCCTGTCTTTCCCCCTTTTGTCATATCACAAAGCAGGCGAATGCAGATCATAAGTTTCTTCCATAGCATAGAAACGACCTCTATCCCACGTATGACCTAGACTGTGAAGTTTTCCCTTCATTGGTTTTATTTGGAAATAACTATGTATTTACAGAAGAGCTGCAAACATGGTACAGAGAGTTCTCATGTACCCCTCCCCCAGCTTCCCATAATGATCAAAATTAAGAAACTGACATTGGCACCATACTCAGACTTTAGTTGGATTTCCCCGGGTTTTCTACTAATTTTCTTTCTTTTCCAGGGTCCAATCTATGACATCACATTGAATCTAGTGCATGAGTCTCCTCCAAGCTCTGATCATTTCATGGTCTTTCCTTGTCTTCCATGATCTCTACAGTTTTGAAGAGACTGTCCCTCGATCTGAGTTTATCTAATGTTTTCTCATGATAAGACTAAATGTTTATGCTTTGAGGAGGAATACCAGAAAGGTGATGTTAGGCCATGAATGGTATCCTTAATGTATGAGGATAAGACAAGGAGAAAATAAAAAGCCAGAAGTTTGCTCTGGTCCCAAGAGATGGTAGGGAGAGAAAAGAGACAGAAGCAGGGCAAGTAGATAAGATGATAATAGACGTCTAGTTTTCAGGATCTCTTCCACACACAACTCTTTGGGCAAATCTTCAGGGCAAGGGCAGCTTTGTAACATCTTGATAGGTACAGAGTGACCAGAGGCCATTGGGTTGATGGCTCACTTTCCCAGATTTAGGCTCTAGGCAGTGATGTGCTGGTAAATGTTTAATAACTGGCCTTGGGGGTGGGGGGCTGGGGTAGAGGTGTGGGAGGGTGGAGGCCTGATTTATAAAGTTTGCTCATTTCCGTGGTGTAAATACTCCTGCCTTGACCAATTTGAAACTATCAACATAACATTACTGAACAGAATTCGGAAGAACTATGTTGTAGTTCACTGTTATATAGTATTTCTACCATGCATCTATAACAAACATAGATAATAGTAAAATGCAGTAAAATAAATAGGAAGTGATGATTCTGAGTATCAATTACCTTGGCTGTTAATATAGTTTGTTTAAAGGTATGTTTATATTATTTGATTTATAATAATGCTCTGTTTAACAGCTAGAGTGTAAAATTCCTAAAAAAATTTTTACAGGCTCCCTCCAGCATGTCACTGCTTCTAGGGGATTCTGGGCATTTGGTCCAGTACCACATCCCACGTGGATCAGAAGCAATGATGCAGAGGTGGCCGCAGAAGGTGTATAGGACTTAGAAAGCAGTCCTGTCTCCTCATGGCCTTTGTGTGGGAAGCAAAGCTCTCCGGGTCTTGGGAAAGAGAAGGATGAGGGAGGAAGAGAATTTGAGATAGACTGAGTCATCTAAAATAATGTTACTCAGGCTTTCCGGGTGGCACAGTGGTTAAGAATCCACCTGGCAATGCAGGGGACACAGGTTCGAGCCCTGGCCTGGGAAGATCCCACATGCCGCGGAGCAACTAAGCCCATGTGCCACAACTACTGAGCCTGCACTCTAGAGCCCGCAGGCCACAATAGCTGAACCTGCATGCCATAACTACTGAAGCCCACGTGCCTAGAGCCCATGCTCTGCAACAAAGAGTAGCCTCCGCTCGCCACAACTAGAGAAAAGACAGAGTGCAGCAACAAAGACCCAATGTGGCCAAAAATAAAATAAATTTATAAAAAAATAAAATAAAATAAAGTAATGTTACTCAAAATCCAGTCCACGGGCAGTGCCAGTCCACTAACTATTACTGATCTGAGGTGAGATAAATACAGGTGAGTTCACGTTCAGAAATTTTTATCATAAATTGACATTGCCTTGACATCCTAGCATGTGATCAGTGGACGGGGCTTGTTGGACAAGATATAGACCAGTTCAGGTGCATTGAACTGGAATGGCAAGGTGCTTGTGGCACGAGCTGCATCCTAGTCCTACATAGGAAGACCATGTATTGGATCCATGATCCATTGGAAAGATCAATCAATTTGAGAAGCATTCATCTCAGAGGGGTTGGTTTTGAAATCATCATCTTTAGAAGGGAATAAAATGCTGAGTAGTCTGAATGAGAGGTTGTCAGCATGTGTTCCTTGGACCAGCAACCTGGTCCACCCTGGAACCCCTTAGAAATGCAAGTTCTAAGTCCCCAGCCAATGTACTGAATCAGAAACCTTGGGGGTGGGCCCAGCAATCTGTGTTTTAACAAGCCTTCTAGGTGTTTCTGCTTCACGTCTGTATTTAAGAACCACTGGTTAGAATGTTTTAAGTGAAAGAATTATGTTCAAGCTGGAGGAAAATGAAACACAATTAATTAAGTGCAAATTATCCCTGCTAGTATGCAGAGCTGGAGCCCATGAAAAAGATCAGACCAGGTAGAGGAAGAAGGAAGAAAACTCACCTTTCTTTGCATATCGGAATGATACGCGAATGTTAAAGCCAACTACTCTTAGTGGGTGATGATTTTTAATTTTTCTCTACAAGCTTACCCATAGGGCTGTGTTTCCACATTTCCAAGCATCAGTCATTTCCCAGCCCACTGCAGCCTGTTTTTATCAAAAAGGGTCACAGCGATAGGAACAAAAGAGTGTTTTCTTCAGCTTTGCTCTCACCACACAACTGCTGGATTTCTGGCTTTCCTCGCATTCCCTACAATTACCACTATTAATAGCTCAGGAGGCCCCTCTTGGCTGCTTTGGGTTCTCCATCTTTTTCCCTCTCTGCTCTCTATTCCAGGTACCCCTAGCATTTCATCTCCAATGCTTCTGTTCCTTCCCAGATATGGTTTTGGCTTAGAATCTGGCTGACCTGGACATAAGCCATATCACAGCCAAGAAATTCCCTCTGCTTTCCATCAGTGCTACGTTTTCTTTCTGGGGGGCGCCACATGGGGCTCACAGGATCTTCTAAGGCCATCTTTCTCAAATTGATGTGCAAGCAAATCACCTGGGGCTCTTGTTCTGGGACAGGTCTCATCCTGCAGGTCTAGGGTGGGCCCGAGGAGCTGCATCTCTAACAAGCTCCCAGGTGATGCTGCTGTTACCAGTCTGCAAACAATTATTTTGAGAAACAGGTTTAGAGCAGTGGTTTTTCTACTTTCACCATGTCTTCTCCCCAGGTCTTGAACACAGGTGAGGAAGTGTTGTCACAGGGTGACCAGCTGTCCTGGTCTGACAGGGATTGTCCTGAACACCATGTGTCCTGGGATATCCCACAGTCCTGGGCAAATCTAACAACTGGTCATCCCAGCAGCCCCGAACCACTCTGAAGAGCCCTCATTCTGCTTCTCCCCGACTCCCTCCCCATCTGACCCTTGGATTTTTGCTTCTTGACTCTTAAGATAAATGTTTTCCCTTGAGGCTCTTCATTTCTTCTCCATGAGATGCCCTCTCCTTGGCAAACCTGTCTCCACTGGCCCTGAAAACAGAACTGCATTTGCACCCTATGTAGTTAGTTAGCCCAGTCTTTGGAAGAGCTGCCCATTAAACTTGGTTTGGAAGGTTCCATGTAATGTTTCCCCACAGGTGGTCAGAACTAAGAGGCCTCTCTGAGATTGGCTGGGCCCCTATTTGACAGTTCACTCCTGTGCTTTCACATAAACATTCTCATCCCTCCTGGTCTCTGCAGACCAAGCAGGATTGCCCAGTGCCTGGAAGCAATGCATATTCTGCTTTGCTTCTTAGGTGATGATGTGGATGTTAACTGGAATTAGCAAAAACAAAAATCTTCAACTCTGAGGTTTGGCAAATACATGTTTTCCAGTATTTCCAATTGTCCTTTTTACGTTGAAGCCATGAATTCTTTTATGCACAACTTCATGCTTCATCATCGTAGAAATACAGCTCTGATTATGTCCATCCACAGCTAAACACCTTCATTAACACTGAATTTCCAGCAGAATCATTTCCAGACTCCCCATGTTAGAACAAAGCCGTGGTTCTCAAAACTTTAGGATGCATCAGAATGACCTAGAGGGATTGCTAAAACACTGATTGCTGGCCTCACCCCTGAGTTTCAGATTCAGTTGGCCTGGGTGGGGACCCAGAAACTTGCATTTCTAACAAGTTTCCAGGAGATTCGGATGCTGCTGGCTCACAGAACACACTCTGAGAACCACCAGGCTAGTGGACCCCTTCCATCCAGCCACAGATTGCTTTCCTAACACCCAGCTACAGTATATGTTTTCAAAGATAGCCCTGTGCATACTTTCCTACTCTGTGCCTTTGTTTTGTTTCATTCATGTATTCACTCATTCATTGTCTTAGTCTCCTCAGGATGCTATAACAGAATACCAGAGACTGGGTACCTTAAACAACAGACATTTATTTCTCATGGTTCTGGAGGCTGGAAGTCCAAGATCAAGGTGCCTGTAGGTTTGTTTCTTGGTGAGGGCACTCTTCTTGGCTTGCCGACAGCCACTTTTTCAGTGTATCCTTGTGTCTCTTCCTCTTCTTCTAAGACGCTCCACCTTCATGACCTCATCTAAACCTAATTACCCCCCAAAGGCCCTACTTCCTAATACCACTGCGTTGCGGGTTGGAATTTCAACACAGGAACTTGGGGAGGGACACACATTCAGTCCAGAACACTCATGGATTCATTCATTCAATCAGTGGTTCATTATTTCATCAAACTTTTTTCCCCAGTTTTATTGAGGTGTAATTGAACAAAGTTGTAAATACTTAACGTTTACAATATGATTTTTTGGATAAACTTCTTCAAACATCTTTTTTAGCATTTGCAATTTTATTTCTTTATTTTTAAAACTTTTTCATCAAACATTTTTTAAAGACCAACACGACTGGCCCTGTCCAGTGCCCTCATGAAGTTTATGGTATAAGAGAAGAGAAATTTTACCCTTTTACGGAGTGCTTCATGGTTTCCAAAGAGTTTCCACACTCAATCTCCCATTAGATCTTCTCCAGAGCCCTGAAAGACCAACGGGCACAGATCGTTTTACACATTTCACAAATGAAGAAATTGAAGGGGAAGCGGCTCATCCAAGGTAATGTCAACGCAGGTCTCCCCAGTCCCAGGCCAGCGTATTTTCCACTCAGTTCCACAGCTTCAGTCTTGGCTTACTGTACCCTCTCACTCCCTACTGTCCAAACTGTACCCCTTCTTTAAAGCCCAATCCGACACTACCTCCTCCACAAAGCCTTCCCTGATAACCCTAGTTAAGATAATTTCTCCTTCTAGAAAATTCGAATTCAAAAACATACATTCACCCCTGTGTTCATAGCAGCACTATTTACAATAGCCAACAGATGGAAGCAACGTAAGTTTCCATCGACAGATGAATGGAAAAAGAAGATGTTGTGTGTATACACAATGGAATATTACTCAGCCATAAAAGGAATAAAAGAATGCCATTTGCAGCAACATGGATGGACCTAGAGATGATCATACTAAGTGAAGTAAGTCAGAAAGAGAAAGACAAATACCACATGATATCACTTATATGAGGAATCTAAAAAAAAATGATACAAGTGAACTTATTTACAAAACAAAAACAGACTCACAGACATAGAAAACAAACTTATGGTTACCAGAGGGGAAATGGGAAGGGAGGAATAAATTAGGAGGTTGGGATTAACAGAAACACAGTACTATAAAATAGATAACCAACAAGGACCTACTGTATAGCACAGGGAACTATATTCAATACCCTGTAATAACTTACAATAGAAAAGAACATGAAAAAGAATATATATGTATATGTGTAACTGAATCACTTTGCTGTACACCAGAAACTAACACAACATTGTGAATCAAGTATACTTCGATTAAAAAAAATAATAATTTCTCCTTCTCATAAAGTAAGATAGTACTTTATTTTGTGTCTCTACTGGCATTAAAAAAAAAAATATATATATATATATATATAAAACCTCCCTTTCTAGATAGACTCCAATCTCCTCGGGAATAGGGTTAACACTTCACTCTCCTTTTGGTCTCCCAATGCAGTCAGTTCTTATCTTATAGTAGATGCTCATTAAAGCACTGAGAAATGAATAAAGGAATGAAGTTTGGGGAGATGAAAATTTTACCTATTTTCTGAGTCAGTAGTTATATTCATAAGATAATCAATGAAGAATATATTTGAAGATGAACAGAGTTGTCTATTATCTCCATAATTAATTAAGTGACTGCTGGATGCCAGGTGATTTATGTTATGACATTTTGCTCTCATAACCTAACAGATAAAAAACATCGTTCCTATTTTCAAGTGGACATACTGAAGCCTCGAATTGTTTAGAAATTTTCCCCAAGTTCAGACATTGATGGCTTGTTAGAGAGGTGACCAAACTCAATTCCTTTTCACCTCATGTGGTAACATGAACACATGAAATCACCTCCAATTTTACTATAACAATAAGAAATTGTCCAGCATTTATCTACATAAGAAATTAGTTCAAATTGTAGTAATAATCTTGAGATCACCTTTTAGTAACATAGTCTCTCACAGTATTATTGACTCATCCTTGATTCACCATTTGTTGGGTGAATCCTTTGATCCATTTTTCCAAAAGAGGAAAGGAATTTCACTACTACCGTTGCTATTACTATTTTCTTATTCTTCATGTGGTCAGTCATCACTAATTGTGAAAATGCTGCCTTCTGACTTAGTAAATCTGTCTTAACCAGTGGTACTGTGTTCTAATGGAACATGACTCCTAGACAAGAGAGTGTAAAAATTTGGGGCAAATCCTGGAACAAAGTTGGGGTGGGGGTGGATAAACCTAGACATGCTTTCATGAATCACCCCCAAAGGAATAATAACTTTAGCAAAAATGAAAAACTCAGACATTAAAACAATTTGTTAGACATTTACCATTTTATAGAGATGAGAATTATTAGGGAGTTTAACCAAAGGACATTATTAATGAATGTCATAGGGCCTGGAGAGAGGCAGGTAAGAGACAGATGGCATTAAGGAGACAGCTAACTCACCTAGGAGGGTTCACAAGTGGGTTCTGCAGCTGAAGTCTTAGAAGAGCAGAGGCCAGCAACATCCTGAAAACCAAATAGGCACATCAAAGGTGACTGTTCTTCCAAATGTATAAATACCAATTTGCATCCTTTCCTCTTACAGGTACTGCAATATTTTACCTGGTAAACACCTGTCGGTATAATTGGCAGGGGTTATTAGAAGGTCTTGTCATTTCATTAGCCATTAAGACAGCTAACAATAAATCCCAGCATCTTAACAGTTGTTTGGGTTTTTTGCTTTGTTTTTTGTTCTGTTTTTGTTTTTATTTCACTGAAACTGTTTTAGGTCATGAAAAAATTCTACCAAAATCTTCCAAATCTTCAGATCTTTTGGATCTGACAGGTGGAATAAAGTTTCAAAGCACATCTTCAGGCCTCCTGGGGTGTTCAGTTCAGAAAAATCAAGTCACAACAAATGTCTTCTTTCTTATACAGCTTTCTATTGTCAGATCAGGGAGCTGGAAAAGGTCATGCATCGAGAAGAAGGTGAAAATTGGGGAAGTAGATAAATATTCTCTCTAATTCAGGGCTGGTGAAATTAATGTAATATTGGCTTCAATGGGCAGTTTCAATCGCTCTTGTACCTGTCCTCAGAGATATGACACAAGCGGAAACTGAGCTTCTTGAAAATAAAGAACATAGACGTTTGATTTTTGTCAGTGCTTCTTGGAAAGAATTCAGAAGTGCCTCTTCAACCAACAGTAGGTAGGTTTCTAGAAATCTCTGCATTGGGGAATTCGTAGTAAGGACAAAGTACAACCTATATATAGAAATGAAACTTGTTGCTAATGGGTGTGCTATCTAAGGACCAGTTACAGGGAAATGTCATTTTGTTTGGTCACTAAGGAGCTGTAAAACAATGAGGTTTGTTTGTAAAATAACAGTAACAATACTAGATGATACTTACATATTTAAGTACCACACAGTGTTCTAAATACATTTAATTTAATCTAAATACATTTAATTTAATCTTCCTAATCACCCAGTGAGGTAAGTACTATAATTATCATCATTTTACAGGATAAACTTAGAAACAAAAGTTCAACAACTTGCCCACGGTCTCACATCTAATAAGTGGTGACACAGGCAGCCTGGCTCCAGAGCCCAGGCTCTTACACAATAAACTCTATCAGATTTTTATATATAAACAATGGTATATATTTTTGAATATAAGGAACACATATTATTAATAATGGAACATAAGGAACACATATTATTAAAAATTTGAGAACGTGAGAAATGGAAGAAAAGAAATGGAAGACTAGTGCTACTAACCTCACATAATTGGACTTTATACTTTCTTTTTTTCAATAATTCCTCGTTGTTTCCTTTCCATCTTGTCTTTTGTATGGACTATGTTTTGTTTACTTTTATCTTCCACGATTATTTATAAAACAGATATTCTGTTTCCTATTCAACTCGTACCTATATTAAATTGTTCACAATTAACCTTAAGTGCATTCTTACCTAATGATTTAAAAAGAAAAGCAAAACTTCTAATGCTTTTTTAGTTTTCTCCAAGTTCTCTTTTCACATTGTGATCATAAGTTAGACTCTTTATTAAAAATTTTAAAACCTCCTTTTCAGGATTGTTTTATTGAAAACATTGTTTCTTTAGTAAAAAAAAAAATTCTAGCCATCAGCATCAATTCTTAATTCACTTCAATGTTCACTATACTTTATTCATTTATTACTTTGTCTTTACCTTCTATGTTAAATTAGCACTAATCTTTTTCCCTGAAATTTCCTATTCTTGAATTTTTGTACTGTCTCACCTCTTAGTGATCTGGAAGCTATCTCTTTGCAATTTTTACAGAAAATAATCTGACACCTTGCAGATTTAAAAATGTTCTTCTGTTGTTTATACATATAAGCCAATAATTGGGTAGGCATAAAACTTGCAGAATCAAACTTGTTTCTCTTAAAATTGTGTAGAAATTGAACTATGGTCTTAAAAAAGTTCTTGTTCTATATTAGAAATATGAAGGCAATCTACAAGAGCACATATATGTTTTCCTAGATACTTGCAGGAATTTTGTTTGTCTTAGAAATTTAAAAATTTACCAGCCTATGACCAGACATTTATCTCTGTTCCTTAGTTTTGCCCAAAAGAAACCTTACAGTGTCACTGTGGCTTTTACATGTAGAAAGTCTTCTTCTGGTACAACTTTGATTTTTACTTCTGATCCACCTGCTCTATTTTCAGGTGGATCATTTGACTCATAAATTTTATTTTATTCATAAATAAATGAATTGTTTTCATCATTCTGTTCATAAATTCAAGAAATATTTATCTCACACTAACAGTATATACTGTGTTAAGCACTCCGTTGGGGTAGGATTACAATAAGATGTTTATTGTTCTCAAGGAGCTTACGATCTAAGCTAGAACTCCAGAACTTGCCCATTTTCCTCTTATCCTTTTAACTTTTATTCATTTTCTTTGGATAGTTAGACTAGTTATGAGGTTTATCTTCTGTATCCCTCATTTCTACTTCTGCAAAACAGAAATTTCACTTGCTGAATTTTTTATTTAGTCACAATCTATTCTGATTTTTACCTGTTCTTGTTAAATTAAAAACAAAAGAGTCTGTCCTGCTATATTGTTATAATTGCATTCCTAAGACACCTCATATTATCAAAAGGTTACTATAAAAAACAATTATTTCAAGGAGAAAAGGGGCTAGGGGCTAAACAGTTTGAAATGCACAATAATAAAATAATGTTTACTACAGTAATTTTAATAAGTGTGCTTTTAAATCTGTTTTTAACTCAAATTACAAAGAATAAATTTTTATTTCAAAATCAATAAATATAGTTCTCAACATTACTGACCAAGTAATGTTAGACTTACAATGTAAAGTAAGACCACATTTTAGACAACGAGTTCTTAGGACCATGAAATAAATTATATTACAGTTTGTAACTGTCTAAGGTAAGGAAAGGACTACAACACCAACTGAGCAACCAGCCATTCAAACAAATCTATTCCAATTATTTTTATGGAATAATTTTGCTTCCACATGTATAACTCTAGTTCTAGACAGGCCATCATGTTAAAATTAACAATAGCCAGTAAAATGCAAACGATATATCTTAATTTATCAGTGGTGTTATCTCCAATTCCATCTACAGAGGAAAAGCTCCCATGCCTTCAATGTACTTCCATGAAATTCCCCTTTCCTTATAAGCTTACGGGGCCAGCTTCTAGCACTTACCAAGAAAGCAAAGGAGAGAACAAAAAAGGAACAAAGGAGAACATTTTGTGATGCTTATATATTTCAAGTCATTGGTGCACAAGGCCCAAGAAGCCATCAAAGGGAAGTCTTATGTTTGACCATTAAAATGCAGTAATGCAATTCTGCCCAGGAGTAACTTTTACTCTGCTATAGCATAGGAAACTCCCAAGGTATGTCAGGGCCAGCAACACTGAAGGCCACAGAAACATGTTACAGTATGAATGTGACAAAGTAGACTCTTCATTCCTTCCAATATCTGGAATATGTTTATTTCTCATATTTTTACTGTTGATGCATAAAATTCTTCTACAGATGGTTTTAAAGCCTTTAAAAAAGTAATTCGGTGGAAGAGTGTATTCATATATTGCAGCTCATTCAGTGTCTTTGCAGAAGTCCCCCAAATTGGAATCTTAACATATGCATATTGGGATGAAAGAAAAAACCCAGCTTAAAAACAGTTTTGTTAAATGTCTGTTTTTCTAATTCAATGAATGATTTAAAAAATTAACTTCATTGTTTTTTAATTTACCATCTGTTAACTCAATAAATATGAGTTCTTAAAGTTAACCTAATTGTCTTGAAATTTGCTGTTTTTGAAGCTGATTAAAGTTATTTAAATTAATTTTATTGTATATTCAGACTAGAACAAGGCATGTCTGCATTTGGATAGATCTTGGCTAATAATTCACAAATAAATTTGCCCATTTAAAAAATGGACTAATTTTGTTTATGGTCCTTAATATATATCAGTCAACTTGCAGAAATGCAGAGATGCTGAGGTTAGATAACCAAAGAGATAGTACATCAATACATCAAAATTTGTAGCCATTAAAAACTGACCAAGTACAAAATTTTCATCAACTCTGTCTCTTGTCTAATAAAGAGGAAACGTGGAGTTAATATCAACTAGAATTCAATTTCTTTTCACCCTACATTCTCATAGATGAAAGGAACTGCTGTGTTCTTTAAACATTGTCCTTCCTCTGGTCAGTTTATTGGATTAAGGGTGGTCATGGACCCCAGTGGACCGATCAGACTCTTCCTTGAGAATTGTGAAAGACAGAAAGATGGTCCTGTCTCTGGATGGCTCCATTGGAACATCCATGGCTTGAGAACAGCCTGCAACCATGTTCTGCTACGTAACTGAGGAGAGGAGCAGCTGGACAGTCATAAGGAAGAAAGCCAAAGAAGAGATATGGAGAAAGAAGATTGACTGGGTTCCCTCTAGCACTTCAGGACTTCTGTTCTGTGAGGCCGCATTGCGCCCCTGACTTTGGATTCCATGAAAAGCCCCAGTCTGCTTTTCCTTTTTTGCTTGAGCTCAGAGTCAGCTTCAATCACTTACAAGTCAAAACGACTTGAACTAATGCACAAGAGAGGAAATCCTCCTGATGGCAATGATTGTTTGATCATGGATTCCCAGGCTTTATTCCTCCCCCTCTTTCCTTTAGATGAGGAGAAACTTTTTATTTTAGCATGTAATTTATCTATTTTTTTCTTTTATGATTATTGATTTTTTTTGGCTTCTCTAAGAAACCTTTGTCTATCTCCAACTTACGTTTTAAAACGTAAAGCTCTACAAGCTTTAGGGCTTTAGCTTCTACGTTTATAGCTATAATCTGTTGCCAATGAATTGTTGTGTATGATGTGAGGGACGGATCAAGGGCTTTTTGTTTGTTTGTTTTCTCTATGGATGTCTAGTCATTCTAGCACCATGTGTTGAAAATACTTTCTTTGGCATATTGGGTTGCTTTGGAGGAGATGAAAATGGGGAGGGAGGGCATGGAGAGGCCATCTGAAACTACACTAATGACTTAGTAGTAAAATGAAGAGGTAGACATTTTATTTTGCTAATCTTATTAATGAGTTTAAGAAAACGTAGTAGCCTCTTCACTTAACAAAAGAATGGGCTGACAGTCCATTTATTAGAAGTCACTTTTTCCATGAACTTGCACATAATGCACCTAAAACATAACTGATGGCCAATAGTTAACTCAGTTTTCTGTTCTATGCTGTTGCCAGCTTAACCCTTTACACTGTTGTATAACGTGCATCCATTCGTGTTCCAGACATTAACTGAGATCTAGACTAGGACTGTATCCATTAGATGGAACAGACTACATTTGCCCAAGAATATTAAATAAAACCAAGCTGAAAACCAATTCAAAGTAGGATATAACTGTTGGCCCTGCTTGTTTGTCTGTCCTACTTTTTTGCACCGTAAGGGGAGCTTTTATTGTCCTTTCATTTGCGTAAGCCAACTTCCAAGTTATCTCAGGAAGATCTTAGAATAACAATATTATTGTGTTTGAGATGACCCCAAAGTGTGAATGATTCTCAAAATCCATTGATTCGCAACGTGCAAGTCACAGGTGAGCTGCATATAAATCATCTTCGTGGTGCACATAGAAAATGCTTAATGTTGGCCAAAAACGCTGGGGTAAATGGTTGAGGCAACTGGCTGAGGGACTCTGACCATCGTAAGCCCTTCCCAGGTGCTGTTGGGTCACCTGAAAGGTTGAAGGCCTCAATATCTTGGTACACTGGTCATCCATTTGTAACAGAGCAGTTGGCTTATTCTCATCTAAGTACTTCTAGGAAATGTACAGTAGTGGATGGAAATCTACAGTTTGGGCCAATAAGCATCCACTTTCCCTATTTCTGGGAAATTATCCCCAGTGTGTCTTGGAGAACTCCCAGACTACCTGATTTGGGTAGTGTGGCTAACACTCTCAAATCCAAGATGGGCATGTGACCCAAGGCTGGTGAGTTAAAGAACTGCAGCCCCTGACCAGGGTGATCAGTGCAGGTCTGGGTACAGGGTGCAATTTGATCCAGTCACAACCAGGTATAATTTCTGGAAACTTTGAGAAAGAGGAGCGCTCTTTGTGCTGGGGTTTCTATGTCAGAAGAATGGAAGCCTGGAGGGAGTAGCTTACTCTAGTAAAGGGACAACCAACCTGAGGATAAAGAGAAAACAGAAGAAAAGAGGACCAAGAGATAGTTGGTTATTATTTGAGCGGCTAGATCTAATTATGCCTAAAGCAGTCCTTACACTGTATTTTCCAATTTATGTGAGTATGTGTGAGAATATGTATGTAGCAGGGAGAATAAGCAATGAAACAAACTTTCCTTTTTGAGTTGGATTTCTGCCCCTTAACAGCCCAAGTTTCTCAAATCAATGTGGATTGCTGGATCCCAGCGTATTTTTTCTACCGAATCTGAATTTATAGATTTGGAGCCAAGGAATCTGCATTTTAAATAAGCATTCTATTTAATTCCGAAACACTAAAGTTTGAGGTCTACTGTTCCAATTTGATGGGTTAGGAAACTGAGACTAACAAAGACTAGGTGTCTTTCCCAAGATCATTCAACAGCATATATTTACTCTAGGTAGGTGGGAATCATGGGTGGGAAGACATAACAAACTAGCTGATTAGTTATAGAATCAAAACTAGAATTCAGTTATGCTCTTGTCTTCCTGGTGACTTTGAGCTTCCCAAGCTTCTGCTCTAATACCTTTCTTCCCTATTCCAACATACTTCTCATCTAAAATAGGAACATTGGGTAGCATTCACAGTATATCAAAATAGGAGGTACTTTAACAATCTTAGGTCAGTGTTACTAGTGTGGATGGTCTGGAATTTGGAAACATTTCCACCAAAGCGAAGGAGGAGAACGGGCAGCAGAACTAAGCAAATGCTGTCTCCAGGCAGTCCTCCCCCCTCCCCTTCCAAGTCTCAAAGATTCTTGTTTTTGTTAAAAATGCACGCAAGGGGACTTCCCTGTTGGCCTAGTGGTTAGGAATCCGCCTGCCAATGCAGGGGACACGGGTTTGAGCCCTGGTCCGGGAAGATCCCACATGCCTCGGAGCAACTAAGCCCATGTGCCACGACTACTGAGCCTGCACTCTAGAGCCCGCGGGCCACAACTACTGAGCCCACGCGCCTACAGCCCGTGCTCCGCAACAAGAGAAGCCACCGCAATGAGAAGCCAGCACACCTCAGCGAAGAGCAGCCCTCCCACTCGCTGCAACTAGAGAAAGCCCACACACAGCAACGAAGATCCAACGCAGCCAAAAATAAATAAATTTATTTAAAAAAAAAACAAAACGTTGCATTCAATTCTAGTGTATGTATAACTGTTTTAATAGGAAAAGAATTTCTTCCAAAATCTTTAAGTAAAAAAATAAGTACTCCAGAAATACAGGCCATCATTATTCTCTGGCTTTGTGTGCCCCTGGCACAGCAGCAAATCACCCAGGAGGGACTTGCTTCTACCCCACTTACATTCCAGTCAACTCATTTTCTATTCTTGTTTAGATCCCAGGATTTCTTTTCTACTAGAATCATAATGACAGCAACAACATTAACAAAAGAAGCCATTGTTAGCCTTTATTGAGTACTAGCTGTTTTGAAACCCTGGGCATTTACTCTCTAGAGGAGGTGGGTACAATTATTATCCCCATCATAAGGATGAGGAAGTTGAGGCAGAAAATCAGGAAATTTGTTCAAGGTTAAACAGGCAGCTGAACCAGGATTAGAATCCAGGCAGTCAGACACCCAAGGCTGCTTTGCCTATATCTATTAATTTACTCTGAAATTCATGTAAAATATTATGATTTGCTCATGCTGCTCCTTTGTCTTCAAAACTCATGGAACATATAAAACGGGTGAACTTTATTGTATAGAAATTATACCTCAAGAAAGCTGAGTAAAAAAATGACAATTTGTAGAGCGAGCTGTTGAGAATTTAAAGATTTGATTGCCCGGTGAATTGAGTGGCTTTAAGAATCTGGATGTGCCCATGGGAACAGAACCTACAAGAAACCAATCACATACCTTATGAGAGAATACCTAGCGTTTCTAAAGTTATACAGGCGTTTATGGGAGAGTGTGGGGTGTTCTTGCAGACTGCTGACTGTGGAATGGCGGGCAAGTATGGTTTCAAAGCAGGAAAGGAGCTGGGAAAAAGGAGGGTTTAGTGCCCTCAATTTTTTTAATTGAAAAATTAACATCATTGAGACAGTCTTAGGCACATGGATATAGGACAGACTGAGTTATAATATACTCTGAAGGACAGTAATAAAGAATTTGGCTTTCACTAGAAACATACATAAGCTATACAAATGGGTCTCTGTAGTTCCACAGAGCCTGAGGATAGTTTTAGGGCCCAGTACAAAATCCATCTGCTTAGATGGCATTCCTCAATAAGGTGGAAAGATCAGGAAGTTTAGTCCCAGACAATACATATTCTGATGCCTGCTGATCTTTGTGTCCCGCACTGAATGATTTACGCATTTTAAAAATCCAATAATATGTATCAGAGAATGATACAGAAAAATTACATCTGATCAAGAAAAGATCATTGTGCATCCATGTTGCTGCAAGTGGCATTATTTCATTCGTTTTTTATGGCTGAGTAATATTCTATTGTATATATGTGCCACATCTTCTTTATCCATTCATCTGCCAATGGAACTTAAGTAAAGTAAGTCAGACAGAGAAAGACATATCTTATGATGTCACTCATATGTGGAATCTAATTTTTAAAAATTGTATAAATGAACTTATTTACAAAACAGAAACAGACACATGGATTTTGAAAACAAATTTATGGTTACCAAAGGGGGAATGTGGCAGGGAGGGATAAATTAGGAGCTTGGGATTAATGTATATACACTACTATATACAAAATAGATGAACAACAAGGGCCTACTGCATAGCACAGGGAACTCTACTCAGTATTCTGTAATAACCTATATGGGAAACGAATCTGAAAAAGAATGAGTATATGTATAACTGAATCACTATGCTGTACACCTGAAATTAACACAACATTGTAAATCAACTATACTCCAATAAACTTTTCAAAAAGTCATTAAAAAAAAGACTGTTTTGCTCTTGAAAAATAAACAGTCTGGCAAAGGAAGTGTATAACATAAGGAGTACTCAAAATATGTGCCCCCCTTCTAAAACTTCAGTTTTCTTCTCTTTCATTTATTAGCTCTGCAAATATTTATTGGGTACCCCCTATATACATGGGAAGTTGTGTCCCATGTATATTCTTTTGTTAATGTTGTTGCTGTCATTATGATTCTAGTAGAAGTTGTGTCCTATAAAATTTGCATCATCGCTCAGATGGTTATGCGGTATCAACTAGACCCTCCCGGCTCCAGCCTTTTCCTATCCACTCTGCCACCAGAGTGACCTTTCTAAAGAGATCTGATGGTGTTACCCCATCCTTACAAGCTTTAATGACTCCCTATCTCATGAAGTAGGAAACAGGCGACTGACAGGGGGTCCTTAAGCTGATTTTGACCTGTAGACGTTTTCCCTACACATGGGTTCTTTAAAATGTGGATAAGTCCTCAACATTTAAGATTTCAATTTTTCATAGCAATCTGAATCAGTAGCTTCTCTTTAAAAGCTGGAAGATCTGACACTTGGTATGATTGACCTTCACCATTCCATTTAGGCAGAGAATCTCTCTCCTGCTTGCCATTGTCACTACCAATGCTTACGGTCTTCAACTCCGTCTGTTTTGCTCATTTACATTTGTGCTTGGACCAAGGTAATGTAAGAGTTTGCAATCCCTTGATGCCTAAACTCTATAGAGTATGTCTTCAAGGTCCTTCACAATTTGAAGCTCTTTGGTTTCATCCTTTGCAAAGACCCCATGGTCCAGCCACACTGAATTCCCTGTAGTCCCCTAAATGACAAGCTTTGTCATCCTCAGTGCCCTGACTCCTGCTGGACTCTGCTTGAAATATCTTCCCTCCATCTTCCTTTTCTGCCTAAAGGAGTCTCATATATCCTCAAGACTTAGTTCAATTCCTCTATGGAACTTTCCTCAATTCTGCCGGAGAGTTATTTGCTTCTACCCAAGTGTTCCCATAACACTTTGTGCCTCTACTAGCGTTGCAATTCTAATAGAATTCAAAATTCAAAATTCTTTCTGCATCTATCCAATTGGAAAATGTATTTCTTGAAAAGGAGGACTCTACCCACCTCTATATCCCCAACTCTTAATAGGGTGCCTGGCATCTAGTAGGCACACGATGAATGGTTACTGAATGAACAAAAATATGGATGAATGAATGAATGAATGCATGCATGAATGAATACTTCCAAGAGAATTTTTTTGTGTGTGTCACAAGATTGTGACATTTAAAATAAGGGAAGTAATGACTCGAGACCAAATTTCAAAGTTTGATAATGATCATGACATCTTCTGATAACAGTTCTTAAAAGTTCCTGTTCATTGTACCCTTTCCAGGAAAACAAGTCTTGAGAAAATACAGTGTATATAATATTAATAAATGTATAAAGAGTGACTTAAAACTGATAGGGTGCCACATTTTGGTGGGGGAGGGGTGGGTTATAGGGCTGCATTCAGAGAGTGGATGGTGAAAGAAACCACAGCATGTCTCCCTTTAAGCTGGTGGACTCTCTGGCAGCATTTACCCTGAGGAGTGGAACATTTGGGCCACAAAGTGGCAGGAAGAAATCAGTTAGCTGGAGGCGATCATGTGGACACAAGTCACCATGAATATATCAGTTTTTAGAGCTGTGTACCATAGTTCTCCACTTTGGGGCACAAGGTAGGCTGCTCTATTGGGCCTTGTTGTGATGATTCCATGGAGCCATGTCATCACTCTTGGACAATGAGTTGTGTGTCCAAATGATGTGTGTCACTTCTGGCCACAGCATTTAAATACCAGTACAAGGCTCTCCAGAGTGATCTTTATTTTTACCATAGCAACATGAAACATTCAAGGTGGCAACTGTTCCATCTGCCTGCGACCCTAAATGAGGAGACATGGAACAGACCAGTAGACCTGCAGTGGACTCATCGCATAACCAAGAAGACAACCTTTGCCATTATAGGTCACTAAAAATTGGAATTGTTTGTTACTCTGGCATAACATAGCCTATCCTGACGAATACATTAGATTTGCTCTGTTCTGCAGCAGGTGGCAGAACTAAGACTAATGGCTGGAAGTATTAGGAAGACCGATTCTGTGCAATTTAAGACAAAGATGTCATAAAGTGTACAAAGACAGAATTAACTACTTAGGATGTTATTCATTCACACAGTGTACACTGAACTCTACTCTGTGATAAGTATTCTGTAGATAAAATCCTTGCCTCTATGGAGGTAAGTGGTGAGTTTCCCTTCACTCAAGATGTTTGTATTGATGGTCCCTAAAGTTTTCACTCAACAAATCAACTTTAAAAATGCCTTCCAACCTGGAACTTCAGGATGTCTATTTCCTCCGGTCTAAAAAGGAAAAAAAAAACTATTTAAAAAAAATATTCCTTTGACTGAAACCATTTACTGATCTGCTGAGTTGTCTTTTCACATTATAATGTCACTTTCCCAGCAAGTAAGTGCCTTGCAGGCCAAGACTGTTTTATTCTTCCTTTGCATCTTTCTTATACTATTTAGTAGGTAATATTTTACTGTCTGTTCTCCTAGGAAGATAATGAGCTTTTGACACTAGCTATTATTATTGACCAATTGATATGTTTCAGATTTAGTTGTCTTTCAACCATTTAAATTAGGTTTGGACTTGTTAAAAAAAAAACTCGCAGCACAAACGTATTACCCTAATAACTTTCAGGCAAGATGATTTTTCCTTCTGAGAAAAAGCCTTAGCCCTATACTATTGAATTTGTGGCCAATTACAATATTTCATTAACTTATTAATCCAGTGAGTATTTAATGTATTC